TTCTGGCAAAGGCTCAGCTTTGGCTGCCCAAACCACAGTTTGCTCTTACAGACATCAAGACTCCAGGAAGACTGGAACTCCCAGTGCTTCCATTTCTTTGTGCTGCCCTGAAAGCCAATGCTTCCACCTGCTTCTCTCTTTCTGCTTATCCAGGCAGATTTCCTGGAGGATTGAGCACACTGGTGCAGGTGGCAGAGTTTATTGGTGGCAGCAAGAGTTGTGAACTCTGACCTGATGCTGTGATTCCTGACCTGATGCTGTGAGCCCTGACCTGATGCTGTGATTCCTGACCTGATGCTGTGAGTCCTGACCTGATGCTGTGAGCCCTGACCTGATGCTGTGATTCCTGACCTGATGCTGTGATTCCTGACCTGATGCTGTGATTCCTGACCTGATGCTGTGAGCCCTGACCTGATGCTGTGTGCCCTGACCTGATGCTGTGATTCCTGACCTGATGCTGTGGCTGATGCCCAGGTCCTGCAGGGCCATGGGGTGTGCAGGTGATGCCATCCATGGATGCTGGGCTCAGGGGGAGGGGAAGGGACACTTTGGGCCTGCTCTCCCATGGCACTTCCAGGCTCCCACAGCCAGCCCAGAGCAGCACTGCTGGTGACACAGGTGGGGAATCCCCTGGGATGACAACGCTTGTTTTCACAGGCTTTGTGAAATACACTGTGCCCCATGCACACTTGGCCTCACTCAAACCTGCACAGAGCATCCTTTCCCATTCTGGTATTCTCTGCAGAGATGGATAAATCCCCAGTGGTTTGGTTCATTGATTTATCAAATCAGTCCAATGCATGTTTTTTTTTTTTTTTTTTTTTTTTACTATTCAGGCTGCTCTTCCAGGAGCTACGTGGAGCAGAGTTTGAAGGATGCACTTATTAAAATTTTGGTAGGCACAGTTCACAAATAAACTATACTCAGAAATGAGAGGCTTGTGAATGTTCGGCCCTGGCCAAGCCCCTCATTTGCAATATATGTTCTCATTTGTTGGATAATTTTGGGGCAGTGAGAGGCTTTTTCCTGAGGTCTCAGGCTGCAAACACAGCAAAGAAGCAGGGAAGGGTGAAGGGATAATTTTGCTGTTTGTGAAAGTGGCCTCACTTGACTTTCTTTAAAAGTTCAAATTACAGTTATTAGCTGAAGAAAAATCACCAGTTCCTTTGTGTCCTGAAGGCATTTGCAAGACACAGTGCATCACAGATTGAATAGCAACAGATCTTTAAAAGAGATTATTCCAACCAGAGAGGAAGGTACCCAGAAGCCAGGAGGAAACTGCCAGTGAGACAGGGAAGAGAGGAACCTGAGATGACCCACAGAGCTGCCTGTGCTCCCTGAACATGGAATTAAAAAACCCTGTCCCCATATGAGCATGGAGAAGCATCCTTTCCCTGGGACAGCTCTTCCCCAGGCTCCATGTTACAATGAGAGGTTGGAGCTCCTGGTACCACCTGGTACCAGGATGGGCCTGGCACCACCAGGACCACCAGGCACCCCCTGCCCCACGGGAAATGCTGCCTGTCCTGGGACCTGGGAGAAGAGCCTGAAGATATTCTCATCTTCAAGACTGGAATGGTTTCACCCACAGAAATTCACATCACTGTCTTCCTCTTAATTGCTTTCCATTCCAGTCTTCAATGTTTTCCATAATGCTGTTTGTGGGCACAGATGTGATGCCACCCAGGCCTGTGAGCTGCTCCTTCTAGAGCTGTTCACAGAAAACAGTAGAAAACCACCAGGGTTTTGATTTTTTTTTTTTCACATTTTTGTGTTCATGAAGCACAAACCCAGATCAATTTTGCATTTGTTTAATTCCTTGACAGCTGCCTTTTTTGCTTGATCTCTGAGGGCAATAACACAGAAAGCCCCAGAGCACTTATTGGCTGTGACTCCGAAAGAGTGAAGGTGATTTTGACAGAACTTCTCTCTCCTTTGTCTTTATGATTGAACAACAACTGCTGCTTCTGTCAGACTGGCTCATTCCCCATCTCTGTTGGCACCTGTGAGCCCTCAGGCTGCTCAGCAGAGCCACCAGCACCTTCCTGCCTGGTCCCTGCTGAGCTGCAGGAGTACAGAAGTGGGAATCACTTCCCCACCATCACTTGCAACTCAAAATTTGGCTATTGCCTAGGGCCCTAAACCCTGTAACCAGTGTGTCAAAACCACTTGTGGTTTCTGTAATTACACTTCTCCACATTCACTGGCACCACATGGACACTGCCACCTCTGTGGCCCAGCTCTAGCAGCAGAAGTTTTATGGGTTTAATATTTGTAGCAATGAAGCCCAAGGGAACGGAAAGAATTTTTTTTCACAGATTTAGGTAGGATGATCACTTTCTTTTAGCTTTGTTTATTTAATATATGAAGCCTCAGAGTTCTTTTCTGTTCATAGGACTAAGGGAGCTGCCCAGTGAGGCTGTGTGAGAGGGATGAGCTGCAAGAAGACTTCATGGACATCCTGAAGGCAATGCTGAACTGCCTGAGCACCCAGCCTGGGCACAGTGCTGCTAGCCTGGCCATGGAGCTGCACACACACCCCTTTACAAAAAAGCCCTGCCAGCACCCAGGGACACGGCCATTCCCATAGGGGGACCTCGGGAAAATGAAGATTCTCTTTGCTGATGTTTCAGAGAGTGGGTGGTGGCAGGTATTCATAAAGGATGGTGGTGCCAGGTGACACCAGCAGAGAAAGAAATGCTGATGTGTGCTAAAAGAACAAAACATGGAATTGTAGTTAAAAAAATCAACGTCTTTGGCCATCAAAACATTTAAGTCAAGCTGGAAGAAAATATTTTTGTAAGTGTCAAGCTGAGTAGCCTCTTAAACACACGCCTCAGTCACATCCTGAACATCACAGTTACTGAAGGAGTCTGTAAAGGGAGTATTAACCAGTCATCACAGCAAACCTCATAATTTCAACAACAGAATCCCCCAATGAGTGCATTGGGCAGAAACACATTTCCCCCTGCCCAGCCCCAGCCTGGTGATGGACACAGAGCAGCTCAGGGACAGGCAGGAGGAGCTGCTGCAGTGGGGTGCTTTAATGCTGTTGTGATCTGCACTAATGACTGCTGGATTGTCTGTGCCACAGAGCAAAGCAGCCAGGGAAATAATTACCTGCAATTATTCTGTACAGTGTTCCAGGTCTGAACCAAAACAAAGCTTTTTCCAGCGTTTGTAGGAGTCTGTATTGATTTTGTTTTCTGATCCCACAAAGCCAATTCCTAGAATGGGTTTGAGGAAGCAAATAAACCCCAACCCCTGTCTCAGGACATTTGTGCCATATTTGTCCCTTCTCCTCTCCCACACACAGTTCTTTGACACAGTCCACATCCTGAGGACTTGCAGCATCACTGTGAGACAGCAGCAGTGGGATGAAGTGCTGGAATTGAGTCTGGGTAAGAGTCACTCCAGAGCACTGAAACACACAGCCCCTTGGCTTATGTGAGCAAGCACACGTGCCCACACTGCCAGTCCTTCCCACAGAAGGGCAGGAAGGGACAGGAGCTGCCTTGCCTCCCAAACCCAGGGCTGTGTGAGGCTGCCCGGGACACAGAGGACCTGGTGCAGGCTGCCAGTGGAGCCCTAAGGAAACCAAATGGAAAGAGAAGAATAGAACAATTGTTCTTTAAAACTGATGCAAAGATGAATGAAATATCATGGGAAGTAGTGAAAAACTATATGGATTGTTTTCTGCCAAAGAGCAGCATAAGGTTTCCCGGAGCAAAGAGGAAAATACTATTTGCCACAGGAAGTCAAAGCCTGGGGACAGAGTGCTGCTCCTTGGGCTGAGGCAAAAGGCATTTTATCCACCCAGGTTTGTGCAGCCCAGGTTTAAAAATTTGCATGCTGAACTTGAATCACTCAGCATCAGAATGATCCTTCACACTTTGGATATGTGCCTCAGTGTCTGGGATTAACAGCACACCTCTGCCTTTAATTGAAATCTAATCTAATAAAAAAGAGAGTTCTCCCCTTGTCCTTTCCTCCACTCCCCAACTTAGGGGTCCCTTAGCACAACTGCTCTTTCAATTTGAAAATGTGTTTTCTGACAGATTGCAGAGATGCCAGGAGGAAGCATGGAGCTGGGAGCAAATTGTGGCTCCTGCTGACCATCAGGGAGACACTGGATCTCCCAACCTGACCACCAGGGAGATACCAGATACCCCAGCCTCATTGTTGGGAAGATTTGGAATCTCCCAGTCCAGGACTGGTTAAGTCTTCTCCCTCAGAGGTGACACTGTGCTTGTTTGGGACAGGGATGGCTACAGGAAAGATCACAACGAGGTCACTGCCCCGTGTTCAGTGGTGTCATTCCTCTGCCCCAGCCCAAGGCAAACGGGAAAGGCTGTGGATCTTGCTGGCATCTCTCTGCTCCCATCCTCCTGAGGAAAAGCAATAAAGGACTCCTCACCTTCAGCTCCCCTTGCCCTTGGGGACAGTGAAGCCTGTGCCTCGGCTGGGGACAAAGGCACACACAGTCCGGGTCCCACTCACTGCTGGGCTGCTTTCAGCCTCGGAGCCTCCCCACCCTGGGATCTCTCCCCTGCACGCCCATCCCCTGCCTGGGCTCCTTTCCTCCTCCTCCTCCTCCTCCTCCTCCTCCAGGCCGGGCTCCGCGGTGCGCTAGGACCCGGTGGGCGCAGGGGGGATGCCGGGGAGGCGATGCGGGGTCCCGGGGACCGAGGTAGCCCTGGGGGGCTGTGCACTGTCCTAGGGGACAGCCCTGCTGCTTCCCGGGGGTCCCGGGGGCTAAGGGGAGTGCCGGAGAGCCCCGGGAGCCTGGGGAGTCCGGACAGTCCTGGCTGGTTCACGGGAGCTCCTGGAGGGTCCCGGGCTCTGCGGGGATCCCGGCCGCTCCGTGCCCCTCCAGCAGGAGAATTTGCAGGGGAGGGGGATGCAAGGAGTGGGGCGGCTGCAAGACCTGGGGTGAATCGTGGAAAAAAAGGGGAGGGAGGAGCCGGGGTGGGCGGGAAGGCGGGGAGGGGGCTCGGGGCAGCCCCGGTCCCCGCTGCCGCCGCACGGTGCGCGGGGCTCCGCCGCTGGCTGCGGGCACGATGGAGAACGGCTCTGCCGGCGGCAACCAGAGCCTGGGCAGGATGCCCCGGCAGCCCCTGGAGCTGCAGGTGGTCACCATCCTGCTGGTGCTGCTCATCTGCGGCGTGGGCATCGCGGGCAACGCCATGGTGGTGCTGGTGGTGCTGCGCACCAAGCACATGGTGACCCCCACCAACTGCTACCTGGTGAGCCTAGCCGTGGCAGACCTCATCGTGCTGCTGGCGGCCGGGCTGCCCAACATCTCCGAAGTGGTGGCTTCTTGGGTGTACGGCTACGCCGGCTGCCTCTGCATCACCTACTTGCAGTACCTGGGCATCAACATCTCCGCCTGGTCCATCGCCGCCTTCACGGTGGAGCGGTACATCGCCATCTGCCACGCCATCAAGGCACAGCTCCTGTGCACCGTGTCCCGCGCCAGGCGCATCATCACCTCGCTGTGGCTCTTCGCCTCCCTCTATTGCCTCATGTGGTTCTTCCTGGTGGACACCACCCAGGTCACCTTCTCGGATGGGGTGCAGGTCATCTGTGGCTACCGGGTCTCCAGAAGCCTTTACATGCCCATTTACTTCTTGGATTTTGCTGTCTTCTATGTCATCCCGCTGGGGCTGGCGACTGTCCTCTACGGCCTCATTGCCCGCATCCTCTTCGTGAGCCCCGTGCCCGGCACCCCGCAGCATTCCTTTCTGGGCTCCCTGCCCCGGGGCAGCTCCCTCAGGCTCTCCTGCCGGGGCAGCAGGGGCGCCCTGAGCTCCCGCAAGCAGGTAGGGGCTGCCCTCTGTCTGGGGGGCTGCAGGCAGCTCTGCCGGGCTCAGGGCTTTGAGGGCCATTCTGGCAGGGGTGCCACAGTGCATTGTTTCCCTTTGTGGAGGGAGTGGGGAGTGTTGGTTTGCTGCAAAGGAGCCCCTCAAGCCCAGCTGGGGTCTGGCAGTATAGATGGGCTCACCCTGCTTTCGTTGGGCTTGGTAGAGCAGGACAGGGCTTCAGCCAGGGAGAGGGAGGATTGCAGGCACTTCTCCTGGCTAATTAATCATTGATTGCCTCCCCGAGGAGGGGGCTGGGTCGTGTAATGCCAGTGGGACTCACCTCTCAGACAGTGTCCTGTGCATGTGAACCGCCCTGAGCTCCCGCAAGCAGGTAGGGGCTGCCCTCTGTCTGGGGGGCTGCAGGCAGCTCTGCCGGGCTCAGGGCTTTGAGGGCCATTCTGGCAGGGGTGCCACAGTGCATTGTTTCCCTTTGTGGAGGGAGTGGGGAGTGTTGGTTTGCTGCAAAGGAGCCCCTCAAGCCCAGCTGGGGTCTGGCAGTATAGATGGGCTCACCCTGCTTTCGTTGGGCTTGGTAGAGCAGGACAGGGCTTCAGCCAGGGAGAGGGAGGATTGCAGGCACTTCTCCTGGCTAATTAATCATTGATTGCCTCCCCGAGGAGGGGGCTGGGTCGTGTAATGCCAGTGGGACTCATCTCTCAGTGTCCTGTGCACGTGAAGTCAGATTTAAAGGAGCAAAGAGAAGGGAGAACTGACTTCCCTTGGAGCCCAGCCCTGGCTGCAGCCCCCTAGTCGGTGCAGTTGGGTGAGTCACCTTGGTGTCACAGTGGTGTGTTTGTGTTTTGGTGATTCCTGTGTCTCTCAGCTGTTTGCTGTCTCCCCACGTCCTTCTGCTCCCACCTCCTTCTGTCCTCATTGCTCTGTTCACATGGACAGTCTCTGCCTTGTGTCCCATCTCTTTGGACAGGTCATTATCTAGACACGGGACAGTTCCATTCTGAATAGCCAGGGCCCATTCAGCTTTCCTTTTAAAGGAAAAGGTTGAATCTGGGAGTTTGGCTTGAGTCCTTGAAATCACTAATTCTGTTGTGATTTCCAGATAGCCCAGAGTAGATTTCAGCCTGCTCTAAAATCCTCCTCTTTCCAGCTCAGTAGTTTGCTGCCTGCCTTGTACAGGAACCTCCATCCCCCAGGAGAGATGAGTCAGGGTCACAGAGGGGAAGCAAACAGCTCAGAGAACGTGTGTTTCTTCATGAACTTCTAAATCTTTCCAGTCTAGCTTTTCCTTCCTTTTTTTCTGAAAGGTTTAAGCAAGTGCTGACTTCTTCAAAAGCATTTGCCTGCTCTCCCATGGCCACTGGCAGCTGCAGGAGCCTCGAGCAGGGTGTTTGGCAGCGAGGGCTCTTGACTGCTTGATGGATTTCTCCTTCCAGAGCAGCTGCTGGAGGGGCTGGAGGGGCTGTGCTGCTCACCCTGCAATGTTGTGCCAAGGAGTGGCACAACATGCTCCAGCACCATTAGGACAAGTGGCTGCTGAGGCATTCCAGCTCCTGGAGACATCTTGTGCTCTCTTCACTGATACACCAGGAGTTTACTGGAGATTATCATTACCTCCCAAAATATCCTAGCATGCAAAGACTTCCCCTGAATGGCCTGACATCACAGTGCTGCCATCATAAGGAATAGATGGCACTAAGTTTTTAAACTGTAAAGCAGTTTTCCAGGGCTTCCAGCTGGTGGGGGTGTATAGCTCTGGAGGTGCCTCTGAACAGAGGACAGGCACTCACATCAGCGTTCCTGCTCTGGCCTCTCTTTATGGGGAAGTGGCTCTTCCAGGCCCCATGCCCAGAGTTCCCTGGGAAAGGTCCTAAAGGGGCTCTCTCACAGGTGCCCATTTTCTCCCCTCCTGGATGGCTGAGGGAGATTTTCTGTGGCTGTGCTCCTACACAGCCCCAAACTGCGCTGCTTTGGGGTATGAAGATGCTTCTGTTCTCTCACCGGGGCTTCAAAAGAACCTAAATCCTGAGCAGGACAACACAAGGTCAGCTTTGCTGTATTTATCACTTCAGCGAACACCTCCGTGTTTCTCCTCCCGGAGAGGGACCACTAGAGGGAGTGGGATTCCTTAAAAAAGGATGTACAACTGAGAATGATGGAGCAGGAACAAGGAGGGAGGATACTGGCTGGGGAGAAGCATCTGTGGCTTCCTGGACAGGGGCAGAGGCTGGACACAGCTTTGTGAGACACCACTTGTACATTCTCTCATATCTTTCCCAACAGGCAACAAACTGTGGCAGCAAACAAGCTTCAGTCTTAGCAACAGCCTAAGCACTCACTGTATCACTGTGAGATCTTATTTTTAGAAGTGCCCTCACATTTTCATTAAACCACACACAGCAAACCCTTCTATTTCAGTCACATCTTGGTAATAGTTCCTTTCTTCTAGGAAAAATTTTGTTGCCACAAGCAGTGACTTCCAGTTTCTACTCACGGCATTACAGGAAGGCACAGTTTCTTTTGATGAAGTAATAAAGCACAAGAAAAGCTGAGAGACTCTAAATGTGATCCCAGTGCTTATGTCCATACTAAGAACTGGATTATTGTACATCTCCCCTTCTGACGTTTGAAACACCACTGCCTAGATATGCCTGTGGCATCAGTGTTTAGTCATATTTTCTTCTTTGGGGATGTGTGTATTTTGTTAGTAATTTGTTTGAGGAAGATTGTGACATACCAGAAACAGCTGTTGAAATTGCTAGGATGACTGGTGTTTCAGCGCAAAATCCCAATTTCCTAAACAAGCTTATGCTGACCTGAGGGCAATTACTGCTCTCTTCTGAGTTCTCAGTTTCTTTTTTTTTCTCAATATGTTTATGTAGTACTTCCCTAGTGTGCTGAAAATTAAAGTAACCTATGGTAAGTAGCTAAGTAAGCTCTCTATCAGCACAAATAATATAAGATTCCTTACAGTCTCTTCTGCTTCCACGGTTGCTCTGTACCAGGAGCCTATTCCCTGGAGCAATATAGGTGGTGTAGGAAACCAGGAAACCCTAGGGAAGGAGATTAAGTGTATCCCCAGGACATCCCTAAACCCGAGGTCCCCACCTTTAGACAAGTATTTTCCCCATTCATTTACTGTTATGTACTATTTTCAAATTTGCTCTCTGGTACAGACATTGCCAGGATGGTGAATACTTTTTCTAAGGAGTTTTAAAGGCTCTTCAATAGTAGATAAAAACCTATAATTTCTGGTTTTTTATTTATGCAAGATTATTCCCTGATTAAAATGTTTTCAATGAGAAATAGCCCCATGTCTTGGGTGTTTCTTTTAAATGCTTAGAGAAAGAAACTAACCCTCTGCACCAGTGCTCCAGGTGGGAAAGTTCTGCTGGAGATTTAGCCCCATCTGGCTGTTTCTCTTTTTGCATCTCCCCCCACAAGGTGACCAAGATGCTGGCAGTGGTGGTGGCCCTGTTCGCCGTGCTGTGGCTGCCTTACCGCACGCTGGTGGTGGTGAACTCCTTCGTGGACCCTCCGTACCTGAACACCTGGTTCCTCCTCTTCTGCCGCCTGTGCATCTACCTGAACAGCGCCATCAACCCCATCATCTACAACCTCATGTCACAGAAGTTCAGGGCTGCCTTTAGGAAGTTGTACAAGTGCCAGGAGAAGAGCGCTGGGCACCCTGCCCCAGCCACCACCGCGGTGTACTACAGCGCTGTCAAGGACTGCTCCCACGACAGCTCTGACCACAACCTCACCGAGCACGAGGATCTCAGCAGGCTCCCTGCACCTGCAAAGGAGAATAAACAAATCCTGTGAGCCTGAAACAATGCAGGCAGTGGGAGCTGTGTGGCTGTACACACTGTGCTGGGAGAATGCCAAGAGGAATTGCTGTGGCATTGCAGCAAGCTTCGTTCAATACTTCTTCAGGGCATTTAACAAAACATATTGTTATAGGCAAATTAATTTGCTTTTCCTTAGCGCTGATTTATTCTTGTTTGGTGAAGTGTTAGGCACGTGTCAATATTTAGCATCTCTAAAGTATCTGTTGTTAAATATAGCAGTGCCATCCCATTTTGTGTTACATGCAGGTGCTGAGCTGGGCCAAAGCATTGAAAGAAATCCCAGGAACAGAAGGGCATTCAAGGGAAAAATACACCTCTTTTTAGAGTGAGTCTCTCCTACCCAAATTGACATGCCTGTAACACAGACACCCCATGGAATCTGCTCCTCTGGAGTCCTTCTGAAGTTAATAGGAACAATTAGGCACTTTCTCCTCTCATCTCAGCTCTCTCCTGTGAGGAATACACATCCCTGCAGAGGAGATAAATGCCTCCAAGATACGAGGCTGTTGGCTGTAAAGGGACTCTGGGACTCTCAGGGGGAGACTCCTGCATTAGGAATAACCAAAGTTGGGTGTCATGAGCCTTGTGTCATCTTTCTGGAAACACTGCAGTGTTGGTAGCACAGAAACCCAAGGTCCAGACCAGATGGATTTGCTACAATGAACGAAGTAATAATGAACAAACTAAAAATGAGTGTTCCGTAACGTAACAGAAATACTTCCAATGTTGTGGTCTGAGTTTCTTTGGGATAACTTTACCTTTCCTGTCCAAATTCCTCTGGTTGTTTCAGCTGGAAACTGTTCTCTTCTCCTGCAAGCCCCAGTGTGGTGCAGTCAGTACCATAGAGCAGCATTCTCTCTGCCCCAGCTACAGGTGCATTTCAATGGCAGGTGAAGAAATTCTTGTATTTCCTGGGAATAACTTGTGAAGTCCATTAAGTGTTTTGTGATTAGTGACACAAATACTTATAGCTGCTGTTGTCTTGTAAGCAAAGTAGATATTCATACCCTGCAGTATCCAGTCCAAGGACATTTGCCCCGGACTTGCAAGAGACTATCTGGTCTATGAGTAAAATCAAAAAGATTACACATGAGCCAAACCCTAGGGCTCTTACCAAATAAAATTCCTGCCACCAGTAAACCTCAAGTGACTGTGAAGTACTACTTTAACAGCCAATGCAACCTCACTAGTCAACACTGGTTTTCATCAAACTATAGTGATAAAAGGGCCCTAAAATTTTGCATCCACTTGGGAAAATATGTGTATGATATTTTCAAGGGCACAAGATGTTAATTAACCATTCTGCATCTACAGGAAATTGCTTCACTGGGTGAGTCAGGACAAGACCTCAAGTCCCCTCAGTGTGTTGGAACTGTCCAGGACCTGTTTTGTTCTGTGTAGGGAGGTTTTGCATGTGTGATTATTATACTGCATGTTATTGAACTATCTATGTTGCCCCTATTTATTTAGATATAGGTATTTAGATATAGAATATAGATATTAGGTTTAGAATACAGATATTTATTTTGCCCCTTTCTATTTACATATAGGATGAGGGAAGAGAATATTGGCTTTTTTCAATTATTTTAAACATAATGCATTTGGAATTTAAGGATTCATGCTATTTTTGCACTGTTTTATGTATATTGTATAATGTGAATTTAGGAACAGAGTTCCTATTTATTGTTGTTAAGAAAGTTCCGCACAGAGATTTGGGTTTTACTTCTTGAAGAAAATGGAGGAATTTTTGCTAATATATGAGGATTTGCCTGTAACAATCTTTTTTATAGTATAGATTATTTTCCCCCCCTTAGAACAGATTTTTCCTTAGCAGCTCAGAAGAAGCCATTGATAAAAGCGTGTGCAGACAAACCAGAGCAGTAAGGAGCAGGGTAAGGTGGAGCAGGGGGAAGGGGATCCCTGAGTTAGTGCTGGTGCCTCCCTGGACCTTGAGCACAGGCAGCATCTTCTCGGGGATGGGCTGTCCTGTGTCCTCCAGCCCTCCACCCTGAAGCTGTGGCTGCAGAGAGCTGGATGTGGGAAGAGGATTTACTGCCAGAGCTTGGAAACCCACCTGCATCCTGGCCTAAGGCACTTCTCAGGCATGGGCTGTGCAGTTTGACAGACAGCCTTGATTTCTGCAAGCACAAGGAGCAGCTTTATTCTGAAGTATCCCCAGCAGGATGTTTTCCTCCTCCTCATCACATTTCCTATCTTCACTCTTCCCTTTTCTGTGTCTCCCTTCAGATGGAGGCACCCTAAAAGCATTATTTTCTTAATTCAATTTCAGCCTCAGGCCAACAGCTAATTGAAAGTTCTGAAATATTTGTTAAGCATACTTGAGATTCAATTAAAACCTGGTTCTCTACTCCCTCTTCTGCTTTTAGCTGCCAAGTACTGCATGACCCTTCGCTATTTTTTGAGAAGTAATTGGCAGATAAATTCTCCTGGAACCACGAGATCTCCAACAAGTGCACCAGAGTGTTAAACTCTGTAGATGAGGAATGAGTTCCTGGTCCTTCCCCCTGCATGTATTCTGGCACTTTAGGAAGAGCTGAGAGACTTTTAGATGGAATTGAAGACAGAAGGTCACCACTCAGCTTGCTAAGGAGATGCTGCTTGAGAGATGCATGCTGCTGGGAAATAAATCACTAGCAGAAAGGAATTAAAATAAATAACTCATCACTGTAACTTGCTTTGGATAGTCAGGGTCTGAATAAAAACCTTAATTCCTTATATGAAACCAGAGAGCTCCCTTGAAGCTTCAGCTTGCATTACCTTGTACCTTGCAACATCCCACCCTGCTTGTAAAGTCTCAAGCTGTATTTTACCCTCAGCATTTATTTGTCTCAACAGCATGAGTGCGGGCTGTGAGTTTATAAACATGCCAGCAAATAAAGAATCCATTGCTCCTAAGTAATTTATGGCATTGAAGTGCAACTCAACATGATCTAACCTGTTACTCTCCTAATTAAAGCTCATTATTTCTAACCCCTGACCTTTCGGGGTTGTTAACCTGGTAAAACACCATCTGGTTTCTTCAATTACAAACAAATAAGTCCTTGGCAGGAGAGGAGAGATCTGGCAGTGCTGCAGAGCCCTGGGGTGAGGGGAAGAATTTGTGAGCAGTGCAGAGAGGGGGGTGTAGGAGACAGAGGCTTGGGGAAGAGCTGATGGCAGAGTGGTGAGTGAGGTTCCTGTGCCTGGAGAACCCGAGGTTGGCTGAAGCTCCTGGAGTTTCAGTTTAGGAGACACCACATTCAGCACATTTACCTGAATTTGGCTGGTACCAGTGAAAGAGGCCACACGGTGATTGCCTGTGTGCAGGGCATGGATGGGACCTCAGCAAGCGTTATTTACCCTGGCAAAACACACAAGTTGAAGTAACTTACCAAAATCTGTAGCTCAAGCTCCTATCAGGTTGTCCTCTTACTATGTCTCTAGATTTGGGTGGTGGGAAATTGGGCAAATAGGGCATCTATGCCAGCCTGTGTCACAAGACATGCAGGTGGTTTTTTGGGAGAGCCTCTCACCTACGATGCTGCCCAGCATTCTGAAAGCCAGCCTGCTCTAGGACCAAATTACAGAGTAACCAATAAAACACCATCCTAAATAAAGGGATGTAAAGACCATGAGGGAATCCAGCACCTCCCTGCAACCTGAACAGGCGAACAGGCTTCCACTCTGTAGTACCCAACCATGCTTCTAAGATAAAATAGTGGTACCTTTAAATGAATAATATTCAGATCACCAAAGAGGCAACTGCTTAAATTTTTAAGAGCCACAAGAAAGGGTGGACGACAAATTAGGGAAAGATTCAGATGCAGCCCTTTTTCAATCTGATCTGGCCCCAGCTGCTTCTTTGAACTAATTAGTTCAAGCAGATCACAATTAAAGAGCTGCTAATAAAACATGGGGATAGTCCTGCAGCAATATTGATGTAATCACTCACAGTTACTTGTTTATTTTGCAATTCCTGTTTCCCAAGGCTTCTGGAGAGCTCTTGGGCCAGTGCTGCCTCCAGACCTGCCTCCAGGCTTGCACTCACTCAGTGGTTGCTCTTCAGGACTCTTCAAACCAAGGCAGGAGTTCCAGAACTGCCCTGGGACACACAGTGGATCAAAGCCTTCCAGTCCTAAGGGACTGACTTTAATTTACTAAAATACCCTCAGTTTAGCAGTTAGCCAGCCCTACACATTTCTGTCCTGCCAGGGTCTCAATGAAGGCTTCAGTGGGAGGGCATTGCCTGTGCCCCAAATGCAGGGTGCTTTCCCAGATACTGCCTGAGGGAGGGAACATGATGGCAACACCACAGGTCCCTGTGCCATGAGTCATGGGCAGAAGTAATAAGGACAATTTGTGCTTTATAATTGATGAATTTTCTTTAATAACCACCCTATGAATTGGGCTCTGAGTGTGCTGTCTCTATAGAGACAGGGGATGCTGTGAGTGCACCAGTGGCTGCTCCCTGCTCTGCCAATAGGGAATGCCTGAAAACACAAGCTGTTAAGCCTATAAAAACTTTACCCTCTCAAGGAGAAGGTCCTGGGATGGTCCTGGTACTAGCATGGTTTTGAGGTCCTCAGCAAGGGCCCACTGGGCTCCCAAGCTGGCTGATCCTGTCCTTGTGGGCACAGCGTGGGTGGTTGCTCAGAGGAAGTAAATTTAAAGCAACCTTTTCCAGCTATGAGGTGCAGCACTTCTGACAGAAGAGGAGAGGAGAGGGTTCCACAGGCCCCTTGCTGCCAGCCCCAAGCTGGGCATGGGATGCTCTTGCTGGTGGTACATGTTCACTGATGTATTAGTGCTCCTGGGGTTCATGCTAGCCTCCTCCAGAAGGGTCCTGAAGCAAAGGCACTGGTGTGGAGCCAGACCAGGCCAGAGAGGACCACTGGAACCTTTCTGAACATTTCAGTACCTTCTCGGTGTCAGGATTACCTTCACCCCAGCTTGACTCTTCCTCTTGTGCAAAGA